AAATAAACACAAGTTTTCGGTGATTCAACCAAGATCTTCTTATGCACATGAAGTTTCCTTATGCTAAAAACTTGCGGTGCATAACTTGACTTAAACAACTATATAAGCATAATAGTGATGCCATTATAATCCATTGTGTCTGAAATATAATTTTGTTTAAAGCTAGTCGAAACATATTTCTCAGCATTTAGATCTAATGATTTTTTAAATCTGCATTATAAAAATATTTGTTATCCTGGCCATCTTGATATGCATCGAAACATATAAGCATGTAAACATTATTTGGGGAGCAGATTTGATTGCAGCTCAATCGCCTAATTATACTCCCTTGAATCTCTTTTGCTTGTTGCATTGATAGCGATAACTTTTTTATTACCGACATTGATTCCTTATCTTTTTTATGAACTCAGTTTTGGTTTCTACATTCTAATTGCTGCACCCTTCATCAAGGGGAAAATATGAAGGTTCCTAAATGGCTGGTATTTTGCTTCAAATAGCTTGTTTTTAATGAAAACTTTGTAATCGTGCCTCTTGCCATTTAATCCTGTACAATGGCCACTTTTCCTCATGAACACCAAGTTTTTTCTTTCTACCTTCGATGTAGATGTGATTAACTAAAAAAACGATAAACTACTGTAGATTTCATGCCTATCCCTTGTGATTACCTTTTGTTAAAACAATAAACTGTCAGCTATGCTTGCTTTATCCTAATAAAATACAATTTGCTTTGCTTTAAGCGAATTTCGAAAATATGCATAAGGAACATACTTTGTTAAGAATTTAATTTAGATTTTGAAGGGAAATGGCAACCTTTATGCTATAATCAAACATAGTTGTTAACATACTGCTAAAAAAGCAATTATCCCCTATAGATAAACAACCCATTTACCTTAACTTGGTGTTCATAGCCAACATAATTACAACACAATTAATTGAATCCAAAAGATACTTGTCATTGATAAACCTAATACTGCTACTGCTAACGAAGAGGATTCTTAAAAATTCATAATTATTTTTAATTTATAATTCTTTTTGGTCTTATTTTCACATTTGATCACTCAATGTTCTTAGCTTTAATGCCTTGGACAGCTATATAAAATTATGTAGAATAGTGCATGGTTATCAAGTATTTAACTTGACACCTATTTGGACTACTTTATAGATTAGCCTATCCTCACGCTTAAAATAAGCCAAATATATTCATCGTACTACCTAATCTGACTTCGCTTTGATTATTATTATTATACCTGAGTAACATTTTGAGTTTCGAGTGCTTTAAAAATGAATGCAAAGCAGATGCATAAAAATTCATTTTATGATGCAAAAATGGCAATTTGTTAAGTTCTCTTATCTTTCTATACAAATTTTCCCCTATTGCATATTTTTTGTATAACTATATATATTCATCTCATCTTGAGACCGCTATTCTGTTTTAGCTCATCGACATTCTTGTTGACGCTCTTTCTTCTTCTGACCCCTTGGTCCTTCTCATATACTCTTTTCCGCGTCTCTTCACTCATGTTGGTAGTCCGAGTGTCTCAGAATCCACTCTCACATCGTCCACTAAGTTTGCTGCTACGAAAGTAAGCATCTTTCCGCCCGCCCTTAGTTTCAATACTCCTACACCAGATGTTGCTTTCTACACGTCCAACGTATCTGGGTGTATAAACAATATGCAAAGTCACTTGGGCATTGCCACTAACCTCGAGAACATCTTTGACGATGGGGACGAATATGCCATCAAAGCACCCGAAGCAGATTTTACTATTAAAAACCTCTCGAATGATCAGGTAATTGATTCACTTGCTTTTAAAATCCACCATGATATTCCACTTTTACAGATTTTTTTAAACACCACTTTTTTGGCATAGACATCAGGTACGAGGTAGTTTTGCTTTAGGTTTTGTCTAAGTTTCCTTTAGTTTTATAGTGTTATTTTTACCTCGTTTTCGCAACTTGTTTGGAGCGACAGGGAGACCTCATGAATCCTTACTTAGTCCTGCGTTCTACGCCATAGTATTCATGATAGTTTCTAGCATCGGACCGTTGGTACGTTGTCAGACGCTTCACCAGCATCGTAGTCTTTATCGTCAGTAAGAGGCGCCATCCTTAAAGCAAAATTACGACTTATCAAAGGTCCTTGTAGATTACAAAGTCATCTAAGATTTATTTACTTTTCCCTTACTACTTGAAACTTTTCTTTTCATTGCCAATCTCTCAGTATTCCTCATTGCCAACTCACTTCAATGACGCCCTGCTCCATGAACTTTCTCGCTTTGCCGATCAGGCTTCTCTGCTTGATATAGTGCAAACGAGTGAACAACGTGCACATCTCTCTGAAGCCGTCGACTTGATTGCCGAGACAAATCTTCTTCAGGAGATACTTGTCCCTGCTGTCGTCACTTGCCCTGCACTGCCCCTCTCTAATTACACAATAGGCAGCAACACAACTACTGCGGCAATCACTTTCCCGTCTTCGCATTCCTTTCACTCTAATTCAATTGATCACAGCTCTCCAGCTAAGTCTGATCTAGTGAAGATGGGCTCTGGACATCAGGCCTTGCTTTCTGGAAAAGCTACTCCAGGAAGCCAATTAATTAGAATACCTCACTCTCCGAGCACCTCTTCAGCGAGTACAACGGTGTTTAGCCTTCATTCCTCTCCTAGTCAATTTCTTAACTCCATGAGTCTGGCTTCGTCAACCTCAGCACCTACTAGTGCGTTTGCCACTGTGAATACTTCTGCCTGTTTCCGCAACCCCATCCCGACTATGGATCTTTCTGGTTATGTACCTGCGTTTAGCCACTGTGAAGAGCTCCTGGAGTTATTCTGGCCCCGCCTACTCGCTACTAGGATAGCTAGGGAGTTGGCTCGTTTAGAGGAAGAAATTGAGGAATGCCGGCTTGTCGAGTCTACGACTTCTAGTTCATCACAGCATTTGGTTAATGGCAACTTGGAACTGACTTCCTCTATGTTGGGTTCCTATAAGTATGTTTATAACCTCATTCTCGGTAACATACCTATCTTTATTATTGTAACATTAAATCCATTGTTGATGCTAATTGACAGCTATTTCTTTTCTTTTAAGTTGATTAATTTGTCTTCTTTAAGGTCCTTAAACAGAAGCCATTAATGATCTCTTAGTAACCTTCTTTTTCTCCGGAGCTTGTCTCTACAATTATCTCGCTTGTCCCACCTCATTGCTCAATTGTGTCCACCGATTCACCTAAGGCCTATTCGAATTTTACTAATGCATTTAAGGTTGGATAGCTTTATAACGAGGCAATAAAAAAATTCTCTTACTGCCAAGTAGAATCTAGATTTTAGCACAAATCTTAATTTTACTCGTGATCTTCACCTCTTAAAATTCGACATTTCGAGCCCCACTCGAGGACTATCATTTTATAATTTTTGAGCTTACTTCCATTTCGAATGTAAATGTTTGGTGAGGAGATTGAAAGGTCGATTACACTCGAAGACGACGGTGGATTCCTCTTTACCAACTGTCGATGGGTTTTAATGGAACATTCATGTTTACGCTTTTTCCGAGGTAATCTCCTTCGATTCCGGCGAAAACGTGGCAAGCTTTCGTCCGTTATATGACGGACATCATCATAGCAAGGTTTCATCTTTACAACCAAATTCAAGCTAACGACTCTACATTCCCAGACGCTTCGTCGGCATCTTAGCCGAACCTTGCCATTGTCAGCATCATTACAACTAATCGAAGCGACAAGTGAAGTCGATTCTTTGACCAATAATCTGCTAAGCAGTTATGGTATTTCCTGTCCTGGGGTATTCACCTATCCTATATCCTCATATTACCCCTTCAATATCACAATTTCTTGTTTATCTAAACCTAGGTGAGGCATATTCACTCTTCACTGCTAACCACATCCTCCCAACTGCACTGGGAGTGTGGATCTAAGGCTGTAGTTTAGCTGGCAATCCTTTAGGTCCTATCAGAATTTCTTCTTTGCTTCGTAGTATCCATCCCTTATATGTATGGCTCAATGAGTTCAATCTATCGCTGCCACCATATCCATGCTACCTTGGGCGTTATGTTCTGCATTCTGCCTTAAGACTTTGATAGCACTTACACACTAGCCTCAATGAGAAAGCCCCTAAAGTATGAATTCTCAATTCCCATGTAAAACACTATAACAGAAGGAGAGATATCACAACTGTTTAGCAGACAATTTTTCAAAGGCTCGACTTCGCTTTTCCGTTTGAGAAGTTGTAGTTGTTTTGCTAATCATAGCAAGGCCCACTGAAAATTTCAGTGAAACGTCCGGGAATGTATCAACTCCACGTTCCGACTCGAAATTTTCATGCACACTACGGACTCCGGGCTAGACGTGTTCCTTTAGGTCTTCCTGCCAATCTGACCAGGTTGTGAAAACAAGGTCAAACAACTTCTATGCAAAGAAAGGAGACCTCGACCATACTTAAGGCCACACCATCTGGATCTTCATACCTTGTGCTAAAGTAAGGAATTTCATTATCCCGTATTC